ATAATAAATGCTTTCCTGTTCATATTTAAATATATTCTCATCACTTTTTTTCATGATTTTTCACTTCACAGTTGTTTATTTCCATTTTATTATTCTTATGTATCTAATAGATTATATATATATGGAAAGAAACAAAGAATTCATTCATTTCAATTAGAAATTCATTCCAAACCATTTATTGTGCATCCATTAGGTGTCAGGCACTGTTCTAGTCTAGAGGATGGAGATGCAGTTAGTTAAAAAATTATGTCCATGAGAGGAGTGAATATTTCTTACTGTATTCGTAAGAGAGAGGAAAAATTTGTCAGTCTAACCAACTTCAAGAAAATGAAAATTTAAAAGAATGTTCTTACAAGAAAAGCCTGCCAACATCAAGTTAACCCTCACAAAGAGGAAGTTAATATAGTCAGTATAGTTATCTTTTGATTGTTGCTTTCAGGGATATGGTAAACTGGTTACTTAATTATACAACCCTCTTCTCAAGGGTCCTGGAATAAAACCAGTCTTTATACTCAGATATGTGCTAAGTACTAATAATAGCACTCATGAAATAAAAGTTTTTTAATAAATTGCCCCTTAATAACAGATCAACTTAAACATTCTAACTCCCAAGAAATAGGGTTTTGGGTCTTAAGACTCCCTACATTAAAGCTTCTGATGTAACAAGTAAGCGGTACCTACTGGGTCAAACCAAGGAATACAATGCACTTTGTGTGGCTAACCAGGCAAGTATCATTGTTAACTGGCAAAGCAGTTCCCTTTTAGAGATGACTTCAAGGTTGGTGGGCCTAAATCTACCCTTGCCTTCAGCTTTGTTTTGCTCTACCGGCTTGCAAATACATACCAGTCGCACACTGACCCTAGGGTGGCCTGCCTGCCGCTGGCCTGATGCTGGAGAAGCTATTGAAATTTACAAGGATCTTGCCCTTGGCCTTCACTCTCAGGGTCCAGCATTCTCACACACCATAAAGTGTTGCCAGCTCACAACAACCTTGTAGTCAGAGAAGCCAGCCCAGCAAGGCCGCCTGGAGATGTGGGTCACCTGCCCCGACAATTGCAAATACACTAGCACACACATCTCAGACGAACTGCTTGTCTTCCATTTGCAAGAAAAAGCTGTGTAAATAACTGTACTTCCAAAAAGGCAAAATATTAGACTTCTCAATTTGAACTATGTACACTCAGCCTTCTCAGACTAACACAAGGGTCTTTAAATGACAAAGTTGCTTGTATTTCACTAAAAAGTTAGACTAAAACATTTTTTTAAAGTGTGTCATGCCTTAGTGACTTTCTAATGAACCCAAACACTGGAGTGGCTGACACTTTTTAAGTAACTGTAAGCCGCATCTCAAAGGATTCAGAGAAGCAACAAATAAGGAAGTGTGATCACTGATCTTGAAAAATCTGAGGGCTCTGATGAGGAAAAAAGCAGACCAAGAATAAAAAAAGATCCCAGATCCCTTCCAAAAATGTTGCAAGAAGAATTTTAGAATGCTGCAAAGTAATCACTTCATTAATTTATGCAACGACTCAAATTTTGTGGGACAATAAATAACAGGGTCAAGGCGGCCAGGCGTTTTTTGGTGCAAAAACTGCAACTTTATATTAAATGGTTGAGGGAAGACTTGGGCGGGATGGGTAGCACTGAGTCTGATGTTTCCAGATTTCGGCATTGGACATCTCACTCACGTCATTAAGCGAGCTAAATTACAGAAGGACAAAAAGGGACGAGAGGACCAATTTCGAGAAGGCAGCTGAGTCTCCCCTCCTCCGTTTCGTTCAGATTTGTCTTTCTGGCCTTTCTTTCCTAATGGCATTTCTTTTGTAGGGAAGTTCCTCACATCTTTCGGTCTAATTATCTCATTGTACAAATTTTTGAAAAGCAACGAACTGCCGTTTGCTCTGCGCGCGGACATCTTTCCTTCTGCCGGGGTTCTTGCTAAGCCTTCAACCAACTTTCGCTGTTTTGGATGTCGCTGAGGAGCGATGAGGCTTGAAATCCCGCGGTTTTCTCATTCTCTTTTCTTTCTCTCCGAAGACGCCACCCCTACACCTCGGCCCGCTCCCCGCCACCTCCCGACTGGTGACAATTCACCACCGTTTTCAAGTGTGTTTTAAGGCATCTCCTCTGTTTTTTCCTCTGACCCGAGAAGCTCTTTCAGTGTTAGGGCGCCTAACCAGGGGATAGGCAAATAGGATACTTAAGGGGAATAAAAGACCTAATTTAAAAATCTTGGGCTGCCTAGTAACGATTAAGTATGTTGCAGATAAGCGAGCATATTACTAATTTGATTATGTACAAAACGCCGAGGTCTTTTGCCTTAAGCATTCATGTTTATTTAACAGACGTATATAGCGCGTACCATGTAGCAGACACTGTTCCAAACGCTTTTAAAACACGACCTTCTTTGGTTTTAAAAGTATTTCTAAGTGACATTAAATCCGCGTGTGCATTTCAAACGTCCTTGCCATAGTTTTCTTTATAACATGGGTACAGTGGTTAAGTCTTCAAAGACAAATACGGAAAAACTTTAACTAGTTGCAACTTTATTGCAAGCCAGTCATTTCCCTCTTTGCAATTTTTCGCAATTATTATAATTAAAAGCAGCCGTATAGTGAGAAAGAACTTGTTTTTTCATTGACGATTTTGCCCCCCGGGTGTTTGGAAGCGCCCGCTAATTTGATCGCGTGGCCAAGGTTAATGGCACCTGTAGGCATTCACTTTCAGAAAAATGCGCAGCCATCGCTGAAGGTTGTGAAGGCTGAGTTAGTTCGCAGGTCGGAGGCGATGTGTCCCCCAGTGGCCTGCGCAGACTGGACTCGGGCGCACCCGCCGGGGAGTAGCGATTGGCCACCCGCGCACACCCGCTCATCCTAGAGGGGCTTGGAGGACCCGGAGCCGAGTGGCGTCGGGGGAGGTCGGAGCCAGAGGGACGCGAGTCCGCTCGGCTCCCAGCAGCGGGCTTGGGCAGCCGAGAGGCAGCGAAGCAAAGGCCGGGAGACCCGCACAGAGCAGAAGCCCACAGCCGAGCTGGGGGGTCACGGTCCCCGGCGGCCCCGAGCTGACCCGGTCCAGCCCCATCAGGCCCCGCCCGGCCTGCCCCCACCTCCCCCCCACCCCGCCCCGAGACTGTGTGCTTTGCCCGGTGTTAAGTTTCAGAAGTCAGGATGGAACGTTTCGGGTTTCTGTTCACACGGTTATTGCAGGCGCCGCGGTGGGGACCGCACAAAAGAGACGAGGGTTTGTGGGGAAAGGGTTGTGTGGTTTAACGAGGGCTTAACCCGCGGACTGCAGGTCCTTCGCGCTCTCCGCTTGCCCGGCTCCCGCCCGGGCTCGGCCTTCTTATGTCGCGTCCCTTCCCTATCTCCTCCCCGCCCCGCGCCGGTCTTGTGTGAGGAAAGAGAATGCAGTGTGAGAGGGACACCCTAAGCAGATCCCCAGAAAAATAAGAATCCGTCCGTGGCGCAGGCTTCTGGCGATTGACTGACGCCTCTTTCTCAGAGGCTTTTCCGCACTTAGCACAGAGCTGCCCGGACGCGGTGACTGCAGTCTCGGCTTGACCCGGACCGACCCGGCGCCCGCCTCCCGGTATCGCGGCGCCCGGGCTGGCAAACCGACTCCGGCTGCCCTCGCAGACACATCCGCGTAGCCGCCGGTCCCAGAGATAATACTTCAGATCATGGAGAGAAAGAGCAGCTTGAAAACGTTTGAGGGCCCATCTAGAATGGTATACAACCCACGCTGTCCAATGCACAAAAAAACTGGACACGAATTCGTCTTTTAGAAAACAAATTGCCAAGCCTGATTTATCTTCCTTTCTTTCACGTAGGGATCCTAATTAACTACCGCTGTGACTACCCAAACCAGGGAGTGTGGAAAATTGCAACTACCTGGATCATCCAAGCCCGAAAAACTCGAACTTGGAAAAACTACTAAACTTGTGTCCTAAAATACCCGCATCATTGCTCTAGTCCTTCCTGTCACCAGAGTAGACACAACTCCGACCCAAGGTCTACTCAGCGGGATCTATTATCTACAACCTACAACCCGGGTGGCCAAATAGAAAGAACTGATTCAGAGCAAATCGAAAATCGTTTCGTGGCCTGTCTCTCAGACCCTCCGACCGCCAGCGGTTTTAAGTACCTGGTCGGAGAAACTCGCGTCCTTATCTGTTCTCGGCCCAGGGGCCGCGGAAGCAGCCGTGCGAGTTGCCAGGGAGAAAAGCAACTTTGATTTAGGGTTTCCAAAAACCCCAGAGGGCAAATGTGACCGCCAGGGTCAATCAGTCAGCAGTTTTGGTCCAGACAAGGGACAGTCGAGTGGGGCGGTTCGGTTAAGCCACGGCGCCTCCCGACGTCACACACGTTCGCTCACACTCAGCCACGCGCTTGGGGTTATTCTTTAAACACAGGGCTGAAACTCCACGGGCAGACGGCGGGGTGCGGAGGAGCGCCAAAACCCGAAGTCCAGAGCCCGCCCCTCGCCGGCCCGCCCCCGCCGCGCCCGCGCCGGCGCCCGTGCCCACGTCCGCGCGCCTCCCTATCTAGGGTTAGCAACTTCGCGCTCCCGCTCGCCGCGGCGCCTCCCCACCCGCGCTCAGCTCCCGGGCCGCCGAGGCGCGGCCGCGTTCCCACGCCTCAAGCCCGAGCTCCGCGGCCCGCATTGGCCAGCGCGGCCCCGCCCCTCCATCTCAGCCAATCCCAGGTCACGCTGGCCCCGGGGAGGCGGTGCCCGGCGGAGCGGGCGGGGGCCTGCGCGCGGGTGGCGGCCGACGCGGCCCCGCCCGCGCGGGGAGGGAGGCGTGGCCGGCGCCGGCTCTTGCGGCCGAGCTGGGCTGCGGCGTGGGAAAGAGCCGCGAGGAGCTGACCGCGCCGCCGCCGGAGCCGCGCCTGCCGGGGCCCAGGGAGGGCGGGCGGGAGGAGGCAGGCAGGGAGGGCGCTGCGTCCCGCTCGGCGTCCGTGGCTCCGGCCCGGCTGCGCCCCGCGCCGTCTTCTCCGCGATGAAGCGCCCTTGCGAGGAGACGACCTCTGAGAGCGACATGGACGAGACCATCGACGTGGGGAGCGAGAACAATTACTCGGGGTGAGCGCGGGCTCGGCGGGAGCTGTCCGGAGCCCGAGGCATCGGGGAGCTTTGTGTACCAGCGGCTCGTTGGACATCCCGAGGTTCTTCTCCGCCGCCTTCCAACCGAGCGGGGGAAAGTTTTGCCTGGAATACTTTTGAGTGGTGGGCGCTCGCGGAGCGTGTGTTGGGGTGGGGCGAGGCATGTGGGTTTGCACTCGAGGGGTGGGGCGAGAAGACGGGGGACGCGGCTGAAAGTGTGCAGGGGATGGCGAAGGGTCCCCCGGCTGTCAGCGTTGGGCACGCGGACTGGGAAGTCCCGGCGACCCGCGACGCCCCCGCCACCAAAACTGTATTGGGGAGCACTTTCAAAACGGGCCAGGCGAAGGGGAGATTGTTTTAATATTTAAAGACGCTAAAAGATGACTTGCTTTTTGGAGAAATTAAAGCAATTAGCGATGGCAAGCCTAAGTAGGTTGAGATTTCCAAGTTGGTCGAGTGTAATTTGGTTGACGGAGGTGTGAGTGACAAGTCTTTCGGGCATCCTCTCTCTGACTACTTTTGTTCCTAAGTCTGGAAAAGATCGGGGTCGTGATCACAGAAGCCAGACCTCCACTCTGCAGTGACAGAGGGAGGTTATGGAGGCGTTTTAGTGCCAAGGCGGGTCAAATGATAATTGCTTCTAATTGGCATCCCCAGAAGCACCTTAATTATTTATCAGCAGCTGTCACTCAAGAGTAAAATTCTTTCTACCTTTGGAAAACTGATTTTCTTTCAATATTATTCTAACATGTACAGACCTTAGCCTGGAATCAGCAGAAGCAAAGATATTTACTTGAAATATTGTTTCCAAAGTATCTTATAATTATTAAAGTGTTGTTGTCTCATCTTAAAAAAAAAAAAGAGAGATCTGAAAACAAAAGATGTGTGAAAGGTGAAACCAGTTAAGAAGGGGTGGAAATGAGGGGAACAGTTAATTCAGAAATAAGATCCAGAAGTGAGAAGGTGAGGTAATAAGAACCTGGTGTGCGCAAGATTTCTAAAATGCAAGAACAAATAACAGGAACCTGGAGAATTTAAGAACATGAAAAAGCAGAGTATCCATGAATTATGACGAGAAACAGATACCAACTAGAATGCATCATAAAAATTATGTGACAGTGCAGTGATTTGATTGAACTTTTGATACAAAATATTTTTTCATTAGTAAACTCAAGATGGGTTACAACTCCGAGTTTTAAGCTTAGGTTGAAGGCTGAGAGATACTCACCAAGAGTTTTATTTTCAAAGTAAAATATTTACCTAATAGTTGATCTAATTTTTCTGTTACTGGCATATTTAATCTGGGGTCATTCTTTTGGAAAATTGCCACAGAAAACATTGAATTTGTCTTTTTTTTCCCCCTGTATGACTAATTGGAGTTTTGAAATAGATAACGTCTGTTTATCTTAAAGACTGCATCTAGGGACAGCAGTTTGACATACAGTGACTGTATATCTGTTTGATAATACTGCTAAACATGGCCTTTATTTTACAATAGCATTGCTTTGTTTAGTGGGTCTGACCTCAGGGAGGAGGAGGGATGTTATTAGAGATTAGCTGACTTTTAAGAAACATTTATGAGTGGAACTAGGAAGTACTAATATCTAACTTCTCACCCTGACTGCCCATAAGTATTTCATTGGGAGACCAATAAAAGTTTAGAGATGTTTTCTGCCAGTGGATTTGGCATGTGGATTACTCATTAAAAGAAAAAAATGGCATGATTCTTTCCTGAAAAGATATGAAAGGGCTGAAAGCAAAGTTTGTTAAGAATAAGAATTAAGAATAAAATAACACTGATCTGAACTATGCTCTCTCTCTGAATTATTTCATGGGTGCCTTCAAGCACCCAGAAGAAACAATTGTGGTGTTCATACAGCACCTGACAAACTTTTCTTATCTCATAGGCAAAGTACTAGCTCTGTGATTAGGTCGAATTCGCCAACAACAACATCTCAGATTATGGCAAGAAAGAAAAGGAGAGGGGTATGTGATTCTTTTTTTTTCTTCTTTTTGTTTCCTGTAATCCTGCCTAACGTGTAGCAGTTGTATTTTTCTATTATGAATCATTTTATCATCTGTGTATTCATAAACTTTTGTTGTTGTTTTGCTTTTTGGGGATAGATAATAGAGAAAAGGCGTCGAGATCGGATAAATAACAGTTTATCTGAGTTGAGACGACTGGTGCCAACCGCTTTTGAAAAACAAGTAAGCTGCCCCCACCCCTGACCATCCCACCAAAGAGCTCAAAAAATCTGATTCTCTCATCTGGGAATGTGGGTTCTTGTTAAAGCTCATTAAAATAATGGTGTATGTGCCCTGATCTGGCACACAGCAGCTATTTCAATAAAATGCTTTGTTGTGGCAAAACTATTAAAAACATAATCCATCATGAAGTTGAAAAACATTTCCATTCTCTAGCTTATTTTCCCCTTCAGGGTAACATGTTCATGCTTTCTCTGTTCTTTCTATGAATACCAGTAGTGGTTTAAAACTGAGCTGTATGTAGTAGTCTTCTTTAAAAAAAAAAAAAGATATCTACATGAAATTTCATTTTTTGTCTCAAACTATTTTTAATTCTTTCAAGTAAGCTTTTTTATTTAAAAAAAAAAAGCCAAAGCCAAGGAAGTAACATCTCTCGTTCTATTTCCTAAATAATAGTACTAACAAAATTTATTTACCAAACCACTTGGTTTCATTTTTAATCCCTGGGTTAATAGAATCATGTTTATTTTGAGGCATATTGTGAAAGTTTGGTAAAAATCAAACTAGCCATAAATTCTTTTCAGAATTCAAGTATTTCTTTACTAAAAAAAAAAAAGAAAGAAGGAAAAAATATTTTGCACACTTGAGAAAGTAGGAAGCCAAATGTTTAAATCTTCCTCTGTCATTTTGGAAAAGTTGTGGTTGTCCCTCGGCCTCCATGGTTGATGATCAGATTTCTAACAGCATCTTTCAAACAGCATGGCATCATACCCTTGTTGAAGATGTTATACTTTCAATTAACTTCAAATAGGATATAAGACATTCATTGTTTGTTTATTCCACTTTGTTTTTTCATGAACCACAAACATTATAAAGCAAGCCCCACAAAGTCCTTGGAAATTATCCAGAAACTGCAGTTTTGTTATTAGTCACTTTCACTGAAACTCCTGTTCATCTTCATGGAAAAATTGAACATGGACAGAAGTACAAGGTGTCGTATGTTATTGATTATACATTTTTAAAAGAAAAAAGGCACCCACTCTGTATGCTAAAACTGATAAGCTAAATATAATGGGCAAGTTGTAGTTTTGATGAGTAGCATTTACCACAATATGCTGAAAATGAAAATATCAGTAATCAATGACATTTTTTACTTTCAGTACTGAAATGTCTACAGTTATGAGGAACAGTTCGGTGATTTTTTGGGGAGGAGAGAGGGTTGTTAGATTTTTTTTTTCCCCTTAACTGTTGACTTAAAACAAACCTTAAAAGCAGACCTCAGTAGTTTGGCAGTTAGTCACCATAAACACAGGCTTTCCCATTTGCTGAGCTTGGCGACCAACCCTGGTGAGCTGGCTGTGTCACAATATGATTAGAAGAGTGTTCTTTCGAGCAGTTTAAATAACTCTGGCACTCTCACCATGTGCTGGGTGCTGACAATTTTCACAAAACAAGTAAAGCAGAGGAACCTGAAATAAACTTCAGTTTCCTTTTCAAGAAAACATACTGATTTAATTATTTAGCTCTTCCAAGAAATTAGAAGCCACCCACAGCCCTCTGAGACAGCTTGAAGTGGCACATTTGTATTCCAGTTGGTTTCCAGAGGTGCCTTAAAGTGGGTGAATGGGCATAAAATATACTTTCAAGACAGTTTTATTAAGAGCCGTTTCAAAGCGTTCAGATATCCTTAAGCATTTTTGATGCTTACTAGATAAAAGAGGTAGATTATGCTTCCTTGTTTATGATCTTGGAATTTACAGTGACACCTGCTGGTAGTTATTGGGGGAAAAAAACTTTGAAAGTCTCTCTTTTTGCACTTTGGGTTCTACTTACAGTAGTGTAGTATGAATTACCTTAAAGGCATCTTAGAATTCTATTTTTGAAAAATATGTTTTTAACAATAATTTGCTGAGATCCTGTCTCCTTTTCCTCCAGAGTTGTATTCAACTGATCCAGACTTAAGTGTCAGTTGCCCTATAGTGTTAGATGCTCAGTCGTGTCCAACTCTGTGACCCCATCAATTGTAGCTCGCCAGGCTCCTCTGTCCATGGAATTCTCTAGGCAAAAATACTGGAGTGGGTAGCCATGCCCTCCGCCAGGGGATCTTCCCCACCCAGGAATCAAACCCTGGTCTCCCGCCTTGCAGGTGGATTCTTACCACCTGAGCCACCAGGGAAGACTATCACATATCGCCTAATAAAGTATATTATTAACCAGGGCAGAGATTGATGCAAAGTTTGAGAATTCTGCAGTTGTAATAGTTTGCGTGGAGTGATCTTAGTATAATCGTTTTTGTGATTAAAAATTACTTATCACACCTTTTATTCTTTAAGAGTTAAAATGGCAAATATCTGTCACTAGGTATATCATAATTAGTGTCTTCATGTGAAATTTGGAAGGAGTTCATTTTTTTTCTGTGAAAAAAATTAAACTGAGAATTTCTTAGTGGGAGGGAAAATGAACATTCAGGATAAATTGTTCCAAATTTGTTTCCATAGGATTTATGAGACTTCATTATTTGTTTATTCAGGGATCTGCAAAGTTAGAAAAAGCTGAAATACTTCAAATGACAGTAGATCACTTAAAGATGCTGCAGGCAACTGGGGGTAAAGGTAAGTTGGTGACTTCATTCCTCCCCCGCTTTCTGCCTTTCTCTTTTCATTTTTTTCTCCTTAAGATTGTAAGGAAGTCATAGTTGAACAGTTCTTTAACAAGCTGAGATAGGAGGTCCCAGATTAAAGCCGTGGAAATCAATGCTAATGGCAGGATTGAACTCGTGGGAAAGAACTTCTGGAACAAAAGAAGCACTTGACCCTGGGCTTGTGTTTGCTTTCATAGTACTGTGGGAGTAAGGCTTCATTCACAGCAGCCTGGTCAGAGATTTGTTTGGGACTTTCAGAAGTGCATGCTGGAATTTGTACCAAAGACAAAACAAACACACAAACATCCAAACATAAACAAGAGGTTAGAGGCAGTCTTTTTCTCTTCTTCTTTCCCTCCCCCACCATCCTCCCCTCCACCCATTAAATCAAGGCTAGGACTCAGTATCAAGCAGCTATTCCAAAATAAGTGAATTTTCATTGTTGTTTTCAGAGTCTGATTGGTCTTGTATTTAGACCAGACAGAGCATTTGAAGTGCAGGTAGTGAGTCTCTGTCCTGGAAATCACTGATGCAACAGTCATTCCTGCAGAGAGCAAACAGGAGCAGGTGCCCTGGCCCAGTGCCATGGAGAGATGTCTTCTGTACCAGATAGTGATTTAGGGACAAATAGCCCAGGGCACTCAGGGATGGACCCTCACTTCATGGTATAAATGGATGTGAGATCCTGAACGCTGATTCATTCAGATTTCGGTATCTTACTTCTCACATATCAGACTTGATTTTGCCCTTTGTATCCTTTTCACCCTCCAGAAGGCCTTAGGTATTCATCTTAGCCAAGGGTGCTGGTCTATATATTTGATAACTGGCTGAGGAGAGGGTACCACAAAGACGAAGTCTGTCTGTTCGGCATTGGCCTTTTAGGGCAGAGCACCAGATTTCTTCCCTAGATCGGAGCAGAAGCAAGGCAAGGAGGGAAATAGCTGTTTACCAATCGGTGCCCACGTATTTCAGTATTGAACTCCAGCTGAGGACCTGGGGAACATGAGCTCTGAGCGTCACCATCTTTCTACCTGTGTCAGGTGGAGGGTGATCATGGTAAAGGGCTGCCTTCACACTCAGTGTGACTTACCCGCTGTTGTCCCTGCTCAAGGAACCGTCCTGCATGAATGAACATACTGAATGGGTATGGAATTGTGATTTCTTCTCATTAAAATGTAACCCTCTGCAAAGCATGCAAATATTCTTACATGGTAGAGAACTGGATGAAATTGTCGATGCCAGTGATCCAACCCAGCTTCTCCAGTGCCCCCACCTTTAAACCGAGACAGAGGTGCTGAGCGACACGGGGAGGCCTGTACTAGCAGCATTGAATTCTCAAGGGCCCCCGCAGCCCCAAGATTCTGTCTCTACACGTGCCACCCCAAGATATTAGGAGACTGATTGAGTTAGAGATGCTTCAGGGGAAAGGGGTTTGATTGTTTTACCTCTCTTGGCACTGTTAGCTGTAAAACTAAGAATTTTTATCAGCGTTTCAAATAGTTGGCATGAGCTATACTTCTAAAGAGTAATATTGTTCTTATGCCTTAGTATAAAAATGAAGTTCCATCTTGGTTGCTATTCTCGGCTACCTGAACAGTCCTAAAAATCCCTCCCAAAATAGTCTGTGAACAGACATTTGCGAGCAAGTTGCATACAAGTCGCCTGACTGCCCGGTCATTAGAGAGGTCACCTCACCAGAGAATGTGTGGGCCTTCGGGGGAGGGGGTGCTGGCAGTGTGGGCGCAAATTGTTAGACTCACAGCAGCTATGGGGCCTCAGAATGTACTGGCGAAGGGCAGAGACTCTGCGGTTAGGTTGCCTGGTTTCAAATCCTGGCTCTGCTATTTTTTTTTTTTAAGCTCTGTGACCCTATATAAGTTACTAACCTTCTCTGAAGCCCAGTTTCTTCACCTGTAAAATGAGGACAGGGAGAGTGTTTACTTCACAATGTTGTGAGTTTAGTCACTTAAAGCCCCATAGAGCAGTGATGGAAGTGGCGTGGACCCCTCTGCTATTATTTTTGGCCCAAGATCCAGTCACAGGAAACAGCTGCTCATCATCGTTTCCCTCTGCATTCAGCAATAGAATAGGAATTATATAATTTATATGCCTTAAGATGCAACAGAGTACTCAGCCATGTGTAACAACATATAGCCAGCAAATCACCAATTTCAATTACTTTGTGCCTAGTCATGAAAAATTCTTGGAAGCTCTTGGGGTTCAATTCTTTTGATCTATGCTTTAGTCTGTTTTGCTAAGGCAATAGTTTCTAGAGAAGATTTAGAGTAACCTAAATTTCTAGATCCCTCTGGATTTCTGGACTTTGTCTATTCTGATGATTACCTCCCTTCTCTCATGGAAGTCAGAAGTCTGCAAAGCCTTACAGAGAACCCTAAGGACACTTAATGTGAAATCTTTCTTTGAAGGCATCTTCTTCAGGAAGAACTTTACCTCCTAATGTCAGGGGCTTTATTGCTAACTGTGCTGAAAGCCTGGGATAATAACGATTTTTGTTGCTTATTTTCCACATTTCATGATATTCTCTTATGTCAGCTTTGTGTTGTTACTATCTTAATGTATATATTTTCTCCAAAATTTCTTTTTTGGGACTTCCAAGTTTCTGTTGGAATTCTAGCTCTTGGACTTTGAATACTGTGACTACTATTTTTCCAAAGTCAAACTATAGAATAAGTTAGTTTAAATGTTAATAGATGATAAATGAAACAGGTAATACTTTGATCTACAAAAACAAAAAAGATAATACAGTAGATGCCTTAGATGAAAATAACCTTGTTTGAATTTGTCATTTATATATACACACATCCCCAAAGTAAGTAAACTAAATTTTAAAAATTGTTTTTTAAAAAAACTTGCTAGTGAGAAAAAAAATCTGAGAAAGATATGTTTGTACATACTAGAGGTTACTAATTCAAAATGGTGACATTTCCCCAAATCTCTGATTATTATCAGTACCCTAAATGGGCACTGATACTAGTCAGATGTTATTATTTTCTATTCTAATGTATTATCTTTGGATGAAAAGAGATTCTCATAAATGTGATGGACTTTAGCCATTTTTATGATAATAACCTTATGTGTAGGGGTACATACATACACACTGACATAATTAACATATTTTTTTTTCTTGAATAAATGCCAGAAAAAACTTAAACTAAGCTAACCAATGAAAGAAATTTATATTTGAACTTCGGGAAAGCTATGAGTTATAGTAACCTCATGTCAGCCAAGGAGCCTCATATTACCTGATAGAAAAATCTGACCTTCAAATTAGTAGCCACATTTTGTGTGTGTGTGTGAATTGAATTTTTTATTAGAAAAAATGCCATATTTTATAGATCACCATTTATGAGAACCCTACTAAAACACTACAACAAACTGGCCTTGAAGGGAAACAGCACAGTGACAAAAAACTCAAATACTATACCTTTGAGGAGCCTGCAACCAGGCTAATTGAAAATCAACACACTATATAACCTGTTCGTATTTGTGTGTGGTATGGTGGGAGTAGCCACATTTTTTAAAATCATTTTGCTTTCTTTAACTTTTTTTCATACAAAGAATGGCGTTTTCATTTTGTCCATTAAAAAAACAACAACCATGAGTCACGAAGCATGTATGACTTTATTAAGCAGTTCTAGCACATTTCTAACAAAGTCCTCAATCTGCTTGTATGCTTTTCACATCTCTGCTACAAATGCCAAGAGAGTGAGGATGTTTCCGATAAACCCTTTAATCTCTAACTCATGTGACAGAGACAGAGAGACGGGTCCTCTGTAATAGCCGTGCAAAAGTTTACTAGAGAATTTCACTGTCCCACCATACAAGAGAGACACCATTTTTTTTTCCTGGAAGTGTTTGAAACACAGATGTTCTTAATTTTTTTCCCCCGCTGTGATATTTGGTTGCAAGAACAGCTGTAGTGTATAGCACTACCAGAATTGTCACACATGTGAATTGCAAAGTACACTTTCTTAACGGCTGCAAAAATTATGGCCATAAGTAGCTGGCAACATCTTCAGGGAGGATCGCTAGTTGTACTTAAATCTCTGAAGAAGAGGGTGGAACGTAGTTGGTGGTGACCCTTATTAACGGTTATCATTCTGTCTCCCTTGCTGTCTCTGCTGGCCCGCACTGTGCTCGAACCCCCGCTTAGGCTACTTTGACGCACACGCCCTTGCCATGGACTTCATGAGCATCGGCTTCCGGGAGTGCCTAACGGAAGTGGCGAGGTACCTGAGCTCCGTGGAAGGCCTGGACTCCTCTGACCCACTGCGCATGCGCCTGGTCTCGCACCTCAGCTCGTGCGCCTCGCAGCGGGAGGCGGCGGCCATGACCTCCTCTCTGGCCCACCACCATCACCCGCTGCACCCGCACCACTGGGCAGCGGCCTTCCACCACCTCCCGGCAGCCCTACTCCAGCCCAACGGACTCCACGCCTCGGAGTCCACACCCTGTCGCCTGTCCACCACTTCGGAAGTGCCTCCTGCCCACGGCTCCGCCCTCCTCACCGCCACGTTCGCCCACGCGGATTCCGCCCTGCGGATGCCCGCGACGGGCAGCGTTGCCCCCTGCGTGCCGCCTCTCTCCACGTCTCTGCTGTCCCTCTCCGCCACCGTCCATGCGGCCGCGGCCGCAGCCACTGCAGCTGCGCACAGCTTCCCTCTGTCCTTCGCCGGTGCGTTCCCCATGCTCCCCCCAAACGCAGCTGCCGCCGTGGCAGCTGCCACAGCCATCAGCCCGCCCTTGTCGGTATCAGCCACGTCCAGCCCTCAGCAGACGGGCAGTGGGACAAACAGTAAACCTTATCGACCCTGGGGCACAGAAGTAGGAGCTTTTTAAGTTTTCACGGAACTCCTCGCAGTAGCAACTGAATGTCCTTCATTTCCGAGTCAGCTTAAAACCTCTGCACCCCTGGAAGTAGCCATAGAGATGTCTGCAGACCCACAGAGAACAGTCAAGCTGTTTGAGACACAAACCTCACAAGTGGAAATGTGGTATTATCTTTTTTTTCTCTCTGTTTCGGTTTAAGGCGATTTGGTAACTTGACATCAGCAGCTTTTGAAAACTTCACACTTGTTTCCATTTAGACGTTTCCTGGAAAATATATGGACCATACCATTCAGCAGTGCATCAGGATGTCTGAATTGGGGAAGAAAAATGACCTGACTCAATTCTCTTGAAACTAGATGGGAAAAAATATTTGTGTTTCATAAGTGCCTGAGCTAGTAAAGTTTTCTTTTGAACATACAACATTGCACAAGTAGAGAAGAGTGTAGAGGTTGGGCTAAGAAAGGATAAGGGACTGAAGTCCTGCATTAGGCTGCAGATACTTTAGTACAACACAAGAGAAGAGCGCTCTGTTGAAACCAGTAGGTTTTTATTGGCCAAAAGGATTGCTGAAAATAATTTTCAAGTTGAACGTCCTAGTTTTATCTTAGTTTGCTTTCTTTGTACAGACTTGCCAAGTGGTGACATTTAGCAATGCATTCGTGTAAGCAATTATTACATCAGTGCTCAGATTAACAAGCATTTCTGCCCTGCCTGCAAACCCCCAGGCATTTTCTTTCATGGCTCAAAACGTGGTGCTTCTTTATATAAACCATGCATTTATAGATTGTACCTAGAAGCAAGTGCTTACTATGTGCCCACCAGAGGCTATCTGACTCATGCCAACTTGAAAACTCTCCAGTTGTAAAAGTTTAATTTATTCTGTATCATTTGGACAATTTTTACATATTTATCTTCTTGATTTCATCCCAATAACATGTAAAATCTATTGTCACCTTTTGGAGAGAAGTTGCATTTCTGGAAGTGATGAGGCAGGGAGAGAACGATGGTAAGAGAAAAGCCACGATTTTTAAACGTCCATTGTCAGGCTTGTGATTGCATTTGATCCCAAATCAAGATGAATGTATTCAATGGGATGTACATAAATTATTTTTGTCCATGCCTAGAGTAGTGCTACATAATGTGTTTTGGTTTTGTTGTTCTTGTTTTGTTTAACGACAAAATAATCTCTTAATACTTTGAAATTGAGCACATGAGATTTTATGTTTGAAAGACAAAGACACAGCATGTATTATTATGCACTTCATTTCTCTGCTGTGTGGAGAAAGCAATAAACATTATGAGAATGTTAAACATTATGCAAAATTATACTTTTAAATATTTGTTTTAAAAATTACTGTACCTAGTCTTCTATGCATTACTTTGTAACCTTTTTCTATGCAAAAGTCTACATATCACTAATTAAATGAAGTCCTTTTTGACCATTTTAATGTGGATGAGTTGCTTTGCAGAATGAAAGTTTACAGGAATTTCAAGAAAGGCCTTGTTTCACTAACAAATTAAGCTTTGGCTTTTCTTTTTCTAAGTCATTTGGTATAATTCACAGCCTTGAAAATAACAGATGTTTGAGTTTGTAAATCAATTAAGTATAGGTGAGTATGACACCATTTGGAGGCAAGAAGTGATTGGTTTCCTTTGCCTTTTATTTTTAGCATAGTTCTTGGAAAAGTGCAAACACCAGAATGTCAAATAATAGTATACTGAACGTAGGGTAATAAGTTTGTGTCATATGTTTTGTAACTCAAATATTTATAGAGTTTTTAAAACATCACATGCATACATGATAGGTGTGTGTGTATATGTGTGTGTGTGTGTGTATATATATATATATATATATATGTTGATAAATCCTCTGTACCTACCTCAAGATTCTTTTGATGCTGTAGAAACTATGCAGGGATCCCTCCTTCAATGAAGCCTAAAATAGACTATCTCAGAGTTTCTGAAATTGTGGGGCCAAACATATGAGAAGAATTTTTAAATGTTCTTATTATGCTTATCAGTTATGCTTAGAGTTAAAGAAAAAAGTGGGAGACCTCTTAAATAATTTTAATTTTGAAAAATCAAGCATATAGTTTATTTATTTTTTCTTTCTGTAAGTGGGTGAAAAAAATGAGCCAAAACAGATCACCTTTATTCCTTGTCTGTAAGCTCTGTGGTTATTTTATGTCCATTAGCTCTGGTGGGATTAGGTAACAAATAACAAAATGGGTTTAGTGGTATTTGGAATTTGTTTCTTAATCATGATTTGTGGATAACAGGCATAGAAATAATTTTGATTTAGGATCTAATAGTTGATTCTGTGCCTGTTGTAATGACAGCATTCAAATAACTTTTTGTAGATTGTAAACTTTTAGTGATCAGGATTTTTTTAATTTGAATTAAATATTGAAAGTAAATCCCTTCCTTTCATCTTTTTCTCTTCCTATTTTTTCTTCCTTATACTGTTTCCTTCCCAGTTAGATATTGGTTATTATTTTTCAATTTAGTTTATTAAAATATTTGCCAGCCAACATGTTACATAATTGCTGAGGGTTGCCAGTATTCCTAAAGATAATTGTCAGTAATTTCAATTGTTTAAATTTCATTGGTTCTTGATCAATGTTTTACATCTTCAGTTTTTAACATTGTATTTCATTCCATTAACTTTATCATTGAGTTTTCCCTCTCTGATTCAGTGTTCTGTGAAAGCAGTGTTCTGCATTTAAGTGTGGGAATTTTCAGTGTTCACTACCAAAATAGTAAAAAAAAAAATTTCTTTTTATAGTTTAAGGGAAAAAGAACTTTTAGGGTTTTATTTATTGGTGGCTTTTGGTTGGGTAAAAGTTGGTCCCAAAGTTAACTCAAAGGATTTTTGATGGGGAAAAAAATGAAAAAAAAGGAGAACATTTTTAGAAATTTTGTTTTCCCCAGATGATGAAAGCTATATGTGTAACTAATTAGAACCCAGTTTTGTATTTCACATTAGTGAACCAGAAAGTGTTTGTTGAATAACTCCCGTGTGCCCAGCATTATGTTGTGCACACTCACTTTCTAATGCTGTGTGATCTTGCAGCCTGACAGTGTTGGGTACGACTGCCACCTGAGCTATTCACAGGGACCCTCAAAAGAAATAGGTGCCCTGAAAATGAGGGAAGGGGTTTCTAGAAACTAGCTAGGGAGGCTCTTTCTCTCCTTGGGATCTTTTGCAAATACAAATCCTATCATATTTGGAGAAATCTAAGGAACTTTTAAAGTAATGTTTAAACACAGAGTCCAAATATTAACTAGACTATTGGCTTATAATCCACATGTACAAATGTATCATCAGTCTTAAAGATGCCTTTTAAATTATCTTTCTTATTATATATTTAACTTGTCCCTTTTGCCAATAATTAATGCAAGGTAAAAGTAGTCACAAAGCAAGATGATTTTAGAATTTCATATCTCTGTAAGTCCAAGACTCCATCATTTACAAGGTATACTATTAGTTTAAGTTTTTAAGGAAAAGTACCAACCACCACAACATAATTTTACATATCCCAATTTCCAAAGTGTGAAACTTTTTTACAAATTGCATCTTGGATTTGAGGTGATACAATAATAATATATTCAAATGTGATTTTAAAAATCCATGGCTAGAAATGTACATAGATTAAAATGTGGGGGATTTAGCTTACTTTAAAAATATCAGCAAGGGTCTTAGTTAAATCAAAGAATCTGGATTGACCTTGTAATGGTTTAATGATCTAAAGATAGATGTATTTTTTTAAGCTTTTCATGTTTTTATTGTACAATGGGACTATTCCTAGTTCTGCATTTTACTGAAGAAAGGAGTTTGACTTCCCCTTGTAATTCTTTTAAGATCTGAGCAATAACTGAGGTTGTGAATATTTTAGCAACTACAACAAAGCATTAGAGCAAATACGACATCATAAACTGTGACTATAGCTTGTGTTCGGTGGAATGAAGGATAAGTCTTTGAACTTGAATGAGATATCTTTAAAAGAAGAAAAAGTCCCTTAGCTCCTCTAGACAGTCTTATACAAGAGGCCAGAGGCAGACGGGAAATGGTTCTTCAGGTACCAGGTGGCACTTTCTCCCCTCTTCTAACTTTAGAAGAACAGACAGGAGTAGGGTTGCTTGGTCAGGGAGTCAGGTCCTCTTTTAAGACTGACAGAATCAACAACACACTGTAAGTCACTAGTCTAAAAACAAATATAAGACATAATACTATTAATATTGTTCCATTTTCTGTGCTAAGCGCCATGTCAAGTGCTTGAAATCTGTTACCTCATTGAAGCCTGCTTAAGTGTCCTATAGAGGAGATAGTCTTATTATCACTGCAGGTTAGGAATGGAGAAGAGGTTGATTTCCAAGGTCAAACCTAGAAGTTTGAGCTGTGAGTCAGCCCAGGCTTCTCTGATTCTTAAGACCATACCTTTGACCTCTAGGCAGTAGCTTCTGGCAGTACTTAATGGACTCACTCATTCAGACCAACCAAAAGTTTCAACCTGCCTGAGATCACTTTGAGCTAAAGACGAGGAAATTAGCATAAAAATCACTATCATCTCTCCTGTTTAGTATGTGAAAGGATAAAAAATAATAACTGCACTTTATAATAATGCAACATAAAAGGAAATTATTTTGGCAGTTCCCTGGTTTTAACTCTCAACTGTCAAGCAGTTGAGAGTTAAAATTTTTAACTGTTTATCTTAATCAGTGAAGTTACCCTCTGTAAAAGCTATCAAAAAATATTCTGTGATCAAGGTGGCTGACAAAAGTGAGGCAAAATAGTGCCTAGATAGCTGAGAGAATTGAATTTGAAAAAAATTCCTGTCTTCCATTAGATATAGAAGTTAAGGGATTTTTTTTTTTTGAGGGGAAAATGATGGATTATTCTGAATGTTTATACATTCCAGGTCCATCATGTCATAAAACAGCACTCTTCGTTTGGCCTATGAAGACCTGCTCAGTAATCTACTCACTTTAACAAGTCTTGTTATCAGGAA